TAAACACTGTAAAGAATATATTGATAAAAAAATTATATGCATATTTAATTTGTATAATTTTATATATTTCATAAGCATTGCTATCATTAGATATATTTATTTAATTGTAATTGTGATATAACATATTTAGCAATACATTAATTAGTTATATATAAATTAGTAATATAAAATAGTAAAGCATTATGTAAAGATGTATGAAGTATAAGTTATATTTAATAAAAATAAAAAATTAATAAAGTTTTTTAAAAAAACAGTAAAATAAACTAAATAATAAAACACTTCTCTGCTATAATAATAATTCTTTGAAAAATCTGTTAATTTCAAAAATACATTCACCACTATCTGTGATATATGAAAATGCTGATAACCTATTTCAAAGTATTCAAATATTTGCCAATTCTCAAGGTTATGTATTGATGAAAAAAGAATATATAAGGATAAACATAGCAACTTAAAAAATATAATATTGTGCTATGACTGTAGTGGAGTTTATACTAGCTCAGAAGAACTTCAAAGACAAACAAGTATCTGGCTAATTGACTATCCTTTTGAGTTATATGCTGGTTGGCATGCTGATCTATAGTATATAGAAGTTTATAATAGAATCTATAACCATGATCCCTTAGAAGATTTATTAGAATATTCAATATGCTATTGACTCACAGAACAACAATCAATAAATATTTCAGAAATGACTGCCTCTAGGTCATGTTCTCAAGAAATTATATCAACTATCTGTCAAAATAGCCTATCATTATTAGTAATAAATAAAGATATTTATAATATATGTGATCATCTTTGTAAAAAGAGTTTGGAAAGTTATACTCTAGTTGAAGCATTGATAGATAAGCTTAGAGAAGATGGTTATAAGTATGAATACAAATGTGATAATATTGATTATATCACTCACTTTTTTTTTGCGCATAATGAATCTATCATGTTAACTTGCTATTATTTTTTTATTCTTCTAATAGATTATACTTATAAGACCAATAAGTTCAAAATACCTTTGTTGAATGTTGTTGGTATGACTTGTTTTAATACAACTTTTTTTTTATATTTTATCTTTATAAAAGACAAAAAGGAAAAAGATTATCTATAGGCTCTAAGCTGTGTTGCTTGGTTGTTTGATAGAGTACCAAAACTCAAAATTATAGTAACAGATAGAGAGCTAGCTCTTATAGGTGCTCTTAGAACAATCTTTCCAAATTTAACTAATTTATTATTATTATTATTTTTTTTGGTCTTAAGGTGACCTCTTTGGTCAGTATTTTATTTATATTTAACAGGTTACTTTTACAGTATCAGTTT